AGTTTAATTTCTGCTAAATATTGATACAATATAGTCTCATTTTAGATTTGAATTCAACCAATACCTATTTTGCATCTGTCATTGGTAATATTGCTTAAAGAGCTATTAGTATAAAATGTAAATTGTGAGTAGTGTGAGTTGTTTTATGCAATTTGTTGAAGAATTTCTGTAGCTTGATTTTGTATAAAGATGTCAGGTATAGCATTATTGTATATAATGATATTAGGTTATGGAGGTATTGTAGTAAGGTTTTGTAGTGCAATAGAATATAATAAATCAAGTAGATTTGTATGAAGATTGAGTATAGTAGAGGAATTGGAGTTAACTTTTCTATCTAGGAATTTGGTTGTAAAGTTGATAGGAAAATTAAATATGCATTTGTTTTGTATATGATTATAATTGAGGTAGCACCCTGTGTATTGTTTACAAGTGTAGTTAACTGAAGAGTATAGGTGAGTATGTGAGGTATTAAAGTCAATTAGCCAATGTGTTATAGAAATTGTGTCTTCTGTTTGGTTGTATTTTCTTGCTTTGCCTATAGTAATATTGTTATGTTTATGATCATAAGCAATTATCTAAGGTTTGGGTGTATTTTTGTAATGTTCAGTAGTGAATGAAATAGAGTTGGTATAAAATAATTGTAGTTGAGAACTAATTGATCTGAATTGATGATTAGCGATGATTGTATTTTCTAAAGTAGTAAATTATAATAGCTTACAGCCTTTAGATATATATTGAATTTTTGGAAATATATATTTTTAGTCAAGTAATACAGAGTTATCATGTGATGTTAGTTGTTCAAGATACATTATTTCTTTAGTACATAGTTGTTTTTTGAATTGTATATAAAGTTCATGTGTAGTAAGAAATTGTTCAATTGGAGTATATAGATGTTGAATTGTGTAGGGTCTAAGAATATTAAAGTTGGCTAAAAAAGTTAGCTAAAATTTATTAAGCAGTTGTATTATTTTATAAGTAGTTATATTTTTGTTAAGTTTATATATATAAGATAAGAATGTTGTAAGATGTTAGTTGTTGATCATAAATTGTTTTGCAGTTGTTGGAGTCAAATATGGATACTAATGTCTATTAAACTTGAGTCGTTAATAAGAAGTTGAAATTTTGATATATGGTATTGTGTTTGTATATCCCATATGTTTTTAATATCATATATGTTATGATTGAGTAGTGTACTATTTGGTATAGATATTGAAAGTTTAGCTTTGTGTTTTACTGTGATAAGGTATTGTAATATGATTTGGTTGCATATTGTATATGATAGTACTATGTTGTGTATATAGTACTCTAAGGTTGAGATAATTACAGTATTGATAATATAAGTAGCTTATTTGTCTGTAATATTTTTAGTTGTAAGTATATTATTGAGTTCAAATGTTTCTTGTTGTATTAGTTTAGTTTGTATTGTGTATTGTAGAGCAGCTGTAAACCAGCAGTCTAGGAATTTAAAAGGAGGTTTGTTTGGTTGTGATTGAATTGATTGGTTCATAAAATTGATATATATAATAGATTTGGTATTTGAGGTTAAAAAGGATTTATGTGAGTTGACTTTTATATAAGTCATTGTATAGAAGGATGCAGCTGTTTGGACAATTGCTTGAAGTTGTTCTATTGAGTTTGCAAGACACAGTGTATCATTCATATATGCCAATACAGATATAGAAGCAGTAACAAATTGATATTTACTAGGACTGATTTGAGTAAGCCATTTGGTTGTAGTAGTGTAGTCAGTATATATATTATATATATGACTTATTAAGGGATTGTAGTAGATTTATCAGAGAAAAGGAGTTATAGTTTCACCTTGGTCTATATTATCTTGTACCTCATATGAGAATGTAAGTCCAAGATTAGTAATAATTTGGTTAGATCGATCATGAAGAAGATTAGTAAGTATATTAACTAATTGGTAGAGCATGTTAAGTCTTATAAGGGCTTTAGTTAACAGGTTTATGTTAACAGAATCATAAGCTTACTCATGTCCTAAGATAGAATTCAGATATGTTTTTTAGTACATTTGGTATCTTCAAGAAAGTTATTGAGTATGTGAATTGGGTTATTAGTTAAATTGCCAGGAAGTACAACATAGTTATGTAGGTTGAGAATTTGATGTTTTGTTAAAACATAGAATAGTCTGTTAGTAAAGATTTTAGTATATAGTTTTTTAATATGTTCAATTAAACTAATAGATCATGTATTGTTGAGATTTTCATCAAACTCTGATTTTTTTGAAATAGGATATATTCTGTTGTATTTCCATTGTATGGGAATGTTTTGTGTAATTAAACATCTGTTAAAAAATACTGTAAGTGCTATTAGCAGATCTTCTTTAGTATAGGTGGGCATATATAACTTATTACAAAATTATAATATATAAAACTCATCTAATTTAGGCCAATTTATATTATAACTCTAACCCTGACCCTAACTATTTGTAAATTTACTTAAATTGATTCAAAATAGTTAATTTATATATATTATAATTAAATAATAAACATATTTGCCCACCTATACTAAAGATCAACCCTATCAGCATATTGGAATCTAAGTGTTTAATCATTTCATAACTAATTCCTGTTGGGCTGCAGGCTTTATTATTAAGTAGTTGTTGTATAGTGCTTATAATTTCTTTAATAGTGATTTCTTGAAGTATAGAAGTATACTATCTTCTATTAATACTATAATTAGGTTGGTAGATATCTTTTCAATTATTGTTAAAAATATCTTTATCAAGTGGGTAGTAGGCTGTTTATTCATTAAAATAATTGCTAACATGTTGTTTAATTTCTGTAAGGTTAGTAATTAAGCTATTATTAGCTTTGATATTTTGAAAATGTACTGTGTCAGTATGTACAAACTTGCATATAATATTATGTTTTGTACAAAATAAAATACTTGATTAAACAATCTTCAGCTATATTTTAAAGTGGATTCCTACTACTTGATATAAATGATAAAATCATACAAGGCATATGAAATGCATTTTAAACTTATAGATTTATCTTACAGGAAGTATATTTCTAATGCATATACATGTGAGTTATCTTTCAGTTCTTATTGTAATTATAAATACAAATATATTTATTATTATAAAATGTAGTATTCAAAGTAATTATTAATAAGAAAAATATTGTTAAGACAGCTTTTGGAAAATTAATCTTTATTTAGTTTCTAAGTTAAACCAGTAGATTATTACTTTCTAATTCACCAAAGCACTTGAACTATATATGAAACTTATATTTCTGGCTATAATTTTAGTAACTACAGTTAATATTATATTATCAATGCAAAATCTTTGATCAAATTTTACAAATTGCAGTTTACATATACAATCACCTGATTGTGTGATTGTAAAGTAATTTTCTTAATTAAAAATTTGATAAATTTATAATCTATAACTTACTATATCTATATTCTTAAAATAATGCTCATATTTTTGAAATAACTTTACACAATTACACAATTAAATGATTGTATATGCAGACTGTAATTTGCAAATTTGGTTAAAGATGCAAAGTGATGTTAGATCACATGATTAAAAAGCAAGATGGCTACATGACTCTGCTACAAATATTGTAGACAGATCAAATATTGCACCAAAGTGCACAAATAAGGCAAGTGATTGAAGGTTAAGAATCATATACAAATAATACAATACCATATGCTAGCAATATGTGAACAATGCAACAGCAAACAATATAGGCAAACAAGGATTGCATAAATACACAAGCAGTAAATAGAGTTTATTTCAGTAATAAGCCTGAAAAACAAAAAAGTTCCTCAACCCTTCTGACTCTCTCTAAAAATAATAGAAGATCATGTGGTTCTTCTGTTTTTTTCACTCTCATTTCTCTGCTCACATTATAAGCTTGTATGTATCTGCTCAGCTTGCTTTAGCAAGTAGGAAACCACCAGCTTGTCAATCTTTCAATGACTCCAAGCACAATAAGTTTGCAAATTTCTCAGGATGTCTTTGTCATTCCTGTCTAATCTCAGTCAATTATTTACTCTATATCATCTCTTAACTTTTTAAATAAAAAATTCACATCTAGCCTAATAAATAATTTGCCATCTTAGCCTAAACAAGAGTATAGTGTGAAGCAATGCTTTTCATACATCATTTTGCAAACTGCAATAAACTTGCAATTATGTTATTAAACTTGTATCTAAAAATTTAATTAAATATAATTATAGTAATCTTACAAATCCTAAATGTTAACTATTAACAAATTTTATCTATCTTAATATTGAAGCATTGTAACTCTGCTATGTCAAAATAAATTTTACTTCATAATAATATTGCTGAAACAGAACAAAAAAACCACTAATAATATAATAAAATAATTACAAAAATTATATGTACTAATTTTACAGATTGGTCTGTAAAACTAGTTATATTTGAAATCTGATGCTTTAATTAAATCATATTTTTTTAGCATTATATTAAATACAGTATATATTTAAGTTGATCAAATGTAATTACCAACTTATATTAATCTAAAAAGTCAAATAATTAAATGTTCATAGTTGTGAGTAAAATGTAAACACTAAATTCAAAATAAGAAAGTTCAATAGTAGGCTAAAGTTGTATGTATAAAATTATAAAGTGAATTCAGAAGCAGCTTCAAATTCACAAGGATTAAATAGAATTAGTTGTTTCTAAAAAGAATAAAGAAAATAAAATCAGAATAAACTCATAGCATAGCTGCAAAGCCTCAAAAAAAAAAAAAGGCTTATATTCAAAATGATTAGATAAGATAAAAATAAAATTTTTATAAATATGTAAAACTAAAAAAAAAAAAAAATTATATTAATAACAAGATAATTTATCTTTGTTTAATATTAATTTGATCAAGAGTTCTTAAATTAGCTTTTTATAAGCTTACTGTTACTGTAAGTATTTGCAAAATTTGATTATATTTTTTATAATCTTGTTTTATTATAATTTATAATTCAACACTATAATGTCTTAATATTCTTAGATGTCTTCTAAAATTAAAAAAACTACATTAACAAATGAGCAGAAATTAGAGGTCTTAAAATATAAAAAAAAAAAATCAAAGTATTAGTAATATTGATATTGCCAAATAGATTGAAAAAAGTTTAGTTTAAATATCTATCAATCAACTGTTGGATGCTTATTAAAACAGAGTGACAATAATTTTGAAGAAATGTTTATTATGAAAAGATCAAGGCCTATTACATATCCTGAGCTTGATGATGCATTACATGAATAGGTTTTATGAAATCAAGCCACTATAATATTAAGTGATACTATCTTAACAAAAACAGCCAAAACATTTGCAAAGTTGCTTAATATACCAGAAGGCCAACTTAAATTTTCAACAGAATGGCTTGCAAAATTTAAAAAATAGCATGGAATTGCAAATGTGAAATTGCACAGAGAGGATGCTTCTGTAGATCATGATACTGCAACTGAGTCTATTCCAAAACTAAGACAATTGTTATTACAATATCATTCACAAGATATATATAATATAGATGAGACTGCATTGTTTTATTAGTATAATATAATTTTTTTTTAATACATAATAATGAATCTTATTTTTTTTGTTTTTTTTTTTTAATTAAGGTGACCTCTTTGGTCTTTTGACTTTTATTAATCACTTATCAGTATTGTGGTTCAATGAACTACTACAGGAGAGCATACAATTGGCTACATGTGTAAATTTTCTATATTATCTATTTAAGAAGTCCACCCAAAGGTTCTTTACCAATTGCTGTATCTAACACTCCTGCTTGGGTGTTCTACTTTAAACTCTCTAAACCTGTAACTTGTGTTAACATCACTGGTCATCTCAGATGCATCAGATCATCATCCTCAACCTTAGGACTAATTTATTCTCAAGGTAAACCTCTCAGAGCTTTCTGTATCTATTTTTATAGCTGACCTAGGTATCACTATGGCAGAACTAACACTTATGATCAGGGCTAACCATTAAACCACTATGCCCTTGTAGAGTTCACTTAGACCTCAGCATCTACTTCATAGCATAACTCTGGTACTTTAGTATATCCCTGCCTTTTGTCTAGCCTTTTTACCAAACTCCTAATTCAGATAGCTCATGTAGAACTATGACCAGTCTATTGGTATATCAGATCAGCCTAATATCCTTTTCTTTCGGTTTGTTTTAATGGCCTGGTTGGTGGTACCTCCAAGCCTTCCAACTCAGAGGTTCTTGCCTGTCTGGCTACTATGACCAGGTACTATGACCTTGGCATCTGTTTCTTTGGGCTAGCCTTTACAGTAGGGTTGTCAAAGATCCGGCTACCTCTTTATTTGGGTTTTTCTAAATAGACTTCTTGTTACCTAATTTCAACAGATTTACACAGCCACAAGAACTTATCTAGTGTTTGCACTACCCAATTTGTTGGTTTGCATTCCTCTATGTAATGCCATACTTACACAGATGCCCCATGACCTGCCAATCATGCTGGTGTGACCATCATTACAGATATTCTAATCCAATCGTCAGTAGCAGTTGCCGTAATATGAATATTACATAGGTGATTATCCAAATTTTCATCATCAATAGGATTTGAACATCCAACCTATCACTTGGAAGGTTGACAACTTGACCACTTCACTAGGTTGCCACACTCCCTAATAATGAATCTTATTAATATACTACCTTTTTAATATTATATATAGACTTGAACCAGATACAATATTGGCAACAACATGTCTAATTGAAAGAAAAAAAAAACAAAAAAAGATTAACTGTTGCACTATGTGCAAATGCTAGTAGGACAGACAAACTTAAACCATTAATAATAGGAAAATATAAAAATCCTCAATGTTTCAGACAAATTAACAGAAATAGTTTTGATGTAATATATAAAGCTAATCTTTTTTTTTTTTTTTTTTTTTTGCTAAGGCTGTAGTTATCAGTGGCTATTGCCTTTATTGTATTTTAATTATGATTATATAACTTGTACAAGATGAGTATACAACTAGCCACATGTACAACTTTTGGTTGTCTAATTTAAGTAGTCCACCTGCACAGCAGGTTCTATACTAGCTGCTATATCTGCAATCTACTAGGAGATTATCTATTTTAAACACTCTGATCCCTATACTTACACTGACAAATAGTGCACAAGTTCCTATATATTTAAGTGCCATTTAACCTAACCATGACCTTCCTGTCTGTACATCCATCAAGCTGTTACATATTTTAGAGTATGTCATCTGACTGTAGAGCTTCAGAAGGCCTCCTTGCTAACTAACTACCCATATTTAGTATCTTGTTAACAGGGCTCGCCCTTGCAGAGTTCACCCAGACTCTAGCACTGACTTTACAGCATATCCCTAGTACTTTAGTATACTCCTGTTTCTGACCTCAGACTCCCAATCCAAATAGCTTGGTAGGACTGTGACCTGTCTCTAGTACTCCAGGGTCTGCTCTCTAAGGTCCTTTTCTTCTGGTTCGAGACTTCCGACAGCCTGATTGGTGGTATTCCTTACCCGAGGTTCTTGCCTGCCTAATTTCTTCCTCAATGGTATCCATTTCCTAGGTCTAGCTTTTACAGTAGTACTGTTAAAGATTCATGTTACCTTTCTATTCAGGTCTTCTCAAGTGGGCTTCCAGTTATCCTAGTTCATGGATTTACATGGCCACAGATGCCCCATGACTTGCCAGTTATCTGGTGTGACCATGTTACAGGTACTGATCCCAACTGATTGATAGATAGCCATTGCCATAGTATTGGTTTTAAGGACTTATCTTGTGTTTGCACCACCCAATGCCAGTTTGCATTTCTTTGTGTAACTCTAGCATTGCACAAATGCCTGTATATACTGATGTAACATAGGTGGTTTTCCAAATTTTTGCTGTTAGTAGGTTTTGAACTCCCAACCTACCACTTGGAGAGTTGACAACTTATCCACTTTACTAAGTCACTACATCCTATAAAGCTAATCTTAAAGCATGGATGACTAAATATGTATTCCAATAGTGATTAAAAACATTTAACTAAAGAATGGATGGATGCAAGATTATTCTTTTACTGAATAGTGCATCTAGCCATAGCATTAGTGGTATTACTCTTCAAAATACAGTTGTGCATTTTTTGCTTCCGAATACTACTTCAAGAATTTAGCCAATAGATGCTGAGATTATTATATCATTTAAATGTCATTATCATTTTTTGTTTGTTAAATGGCTTTTGGATTAGTATAAATTAGAAAATAGTAAAAACAAATTAAATGTGCTTTTTGTTATTCAATTTATTATAAGTGCTTGAAATGATGTAATGGCAACAACTATTTTTAATTGTTTTTACCATACAAAGATTCTTCCTGTAGCAATGGAAAGCAATGTTAATAATAATAATGCAGATAATGAATTAAATAATAATGCAGATAATGAATTAATGCATAAGCTATATATGGATATCAAGGCTCTTCACTTTTGAAATAAAATAGATATTGAGAGTTATATTAACTATCTTGAAGAAAATATAACAGATAAACTAATTGATAATCAAGAAATAGTAAATCTTATAAGGCATTCAAAGATCTTACTACTGCTGAAGAACCAGATGATAGTGTTGAAATATACCAATTTACACATCAAGAAGCATTAGATGCATTAAACATAGTTAATCAAGATCTTCTAAAACAAAATAATGATATGACTAAATATATTAGTATACTTTTAAAAATTACTAAAAAAGTAAGAAGTCTTCGAACTGCCTCATTACAACAAACTAATCTTGAGTTATTTTTTGCTTTAAATTCTGTTAAAAATAATATGAAAGTTGAATATGATTATTTAACCAATTTTGACATGTTTGAAGCTGATAAAGATACTGAAATTGAAGATCTTAAATTGGAAAAATAATAAAGCTAATAACAATTAAGCTTTTTTTTTTTTAGTATTACTATAAAAATTGAAAAAAATTAAAAGAATAAAAAAAATATTAAAAAAATAAAAATCAGAAAAAATAAAAAAATAAAAAAAAAATAAATAAAAATGAAGATTAGTAATTTTGTTAGAAACAAGAAATTTATTATATATTTTAGATAAAAAATAATATGTATGTAGCTAGAAAAAGATAACATATTTGAAATTAAATTTATATAGTGTAAAAATGTTAATAAAAATAAAATTAGAGAAAAATTGATGCTTTTGCTTTAAATAAAATGTTTGTTTAAATCAAATGAAGAGAAAAAGATAATATTGTTTAAGGATATAAGTCAAAATTAATTAAACTATATATATATATATTTTTTTTTAACCTTAAGCAGTTACGCTAGTACTTTATTAAGATTCTTGAAACTAAATACATATAATTACATAAAATTTCCCAATACTTAAATTTAGCATCACTCGGCCATCCTATTGGTACCTAAGTGCAACCTGCCACACTATCTCAGTTAGAGATAGACTGCTCATTTAACTACTTAAAGCCATA